AATTTTGTTACATAAACTAAATTGTTGCATCTTGCAAGCATCAAAATTGAACCCATGCAAATTTTGGTGACAACATTTGTTTCAAGAAATCAACATAAAAATTCTTCCAAATTCAAACACAATTGAATTTTCTTGAACTCTTCTCATAATATGAATTATGAGTTTGTTCTCATCTCAAATACTACACAAAGTATTTGAATCGCTGAACCAAACAGATGCGGTTAATTCTTCTTGGAATGAGTATCAAACATATTTCACCTCACCAAGAATCATGTTGCACAGTAACAAAACATGATAATTTGCAGTGCGTCATTACTTAAATGGGTATCAAGTAAATGATCAATTATGGTGCGACAACCACAAAGTCATATCCATTATCCACACGCAGAGATTGGTAAAACCAACCCAACAAATTATGCTAATTTAATCAGTTATAGGAACCGAGTGTTCCCCTGCATGGAACTGACTATATATATTGCTATATATAAACCTAAAGCAATTTTACTGTTGCCCAAGAGTAATGCTAATTTGCACTACTGTCACCTAAGCTATTCTTAGGTTTTGATTACAGTAGAGCACATGTTTATTTGATGGGAGAATGTGAACAAACATGGTATTACAATATTGATGAATATTCTATATCTTGATCTCATTTGTCCAATTGTGCCATCCTAGAAGCTATTCAATTTTGTGCTCATTGACATGAAAACATATCTAAAACGGCAATCGATGGGGTTGAGTACATAATATATATTTTATCCAAATAGTTCGAATTATATACATATGTAGAATATCAAATCATATCCGATCCTATGCGACCAGGTTTCAGGTATCCATAGTTATTCATAATAAAACTCTCTTTTTATAACTTCAATCAACATGTTAACAATTAAATGTATACTAACATTACACAAGTCAATAAAGTACAACAATATATTATTAGTACGAATAAAATTAGTTAAATACTTTGCCCCCTCCCCCATTCCACAAGCGATTTAATTTCAAAGATGGAAAATACACATTCAAATCAGGCTATCACTTACACTTGAAATAACATCGGCATTAAGCCGAAAACCGATAGTGCATATCATCGACCCTCCTATTTGGAAAAAGACTTGAAATATCCAAGTTCCGCCTAAGCTCAAATTCTTCATATGGCAATGCCTCAAAGTCATACTTCCCACAGTAGTGGCCCTTCAAACTCGTGGAGTCAACTGCCTCAACCGACGCCCTGTCGGCTGGAGACATCGAGAAAGCATTGAACATTTATTCTTCAGATGCCCCCTAGCCACCAAATTGTGGACTTTAGTGGGATTGAGCAACTTTATTGAGACCTCCCAGACTATTAACTTTAGTCTATGGTGGCGACATGTCATGGTCTCCGAGACCTCCCCATTCCACATTCTCCAATGTGTCTGTTTACTTTGGAGAATCTGGAAGTCTAGAAATAAAGTGACCTTCGAATTTATCCAACCCCATGTCCGTTCCCTAGCCAGACAGTTCTACAACCAGGTCCTCGAAATCTCCAATCTTCTTCTTCCTCCTCCATCCCGCAGCTCTCTACACCCAAACCATCCTGCCACCACTTGGGTCCCTCCACCAGAAGACTTTTTGAAGATCAACGTTGATGTAGCTGTTTGTGCCACCGGATGTTCGTCTGGGCTTGTTATACGTGGGTCAGACGGGCATGTGGTGTTAGCAGTCGAGCTGCAGCATCAAGGAATAGTCAATCCTTATCTAGGGAAAAAGTATCATGTAAGTTTTTCCATATTATTATACATTGAATATGATTTTATGATTATATTAATGTTTGTATAAATTAATTAATTATCCAAAGAAAACTCCTTGAAAATATGAATGTAGAAATTCAAGAAAAAGCAAGGTTTATAAGACAAAGCAGGAAAATTAATAGATTTAACTGGGAAATTAATAGTAAGATTAAAATTGCCGCCTACCAGGATCGAAACTGTTACCCTTTGGTGTAAAGCTAGAATCTTTTGATTTTTTGGGGTGGCTTCTTTAGAATCTTTTAGGGGTCCTGGGTAGAATTGTAAGTTTAACTTTTCTTCCATTGGTATCACTCAGGAAAAAAAACTATTTAATTTCTTTCTCATTGACAAAACACACATAGGAATGAACAATGGATTGGGTCTAGGGTAGATAGTGCCTATCAATTATCCTACCCAAAATAATTTCTGGTATTAACCATATTCATACTCACAAGAATTAGGGTAGAATATCAAAATCATACTCATGCGTGATGGGATTTCGGGTATCCATGGTTATCCATGTGTAATAATTTATCTTTAGAACTTTAAACAAGTTAAGAATTACATGTATAGTGACATATATAAGTGAAAATGTATAAAGATAAATTACTAGAACGAAGACAATTAGTTAATAACTACACAATTTCATAATAATATTATATATGTACAATAAATATCAAATATTCATAATAGTACGTGTTTTAAGGTGAGTTTCACTTTTTATTCCCTTTAATCACAAGAACGCAAGTTGACCAGTCCGCCACAAAGTGCGGTCCTAACCTAGTTAATGTATATAAACGTGCAGTAGTGTTATTGTTGCCTAATAATTTTGCTATTTGATACCCAAAATTTAATTAAACCACAACTTAGTCACTATAATTTATATTTTATATTTGATACTCCAAATTTAATTTTAATGTAAAATCATTGAACAATTATGTTTTGGTATCTAAATTTTATGAGATTTTCGTATAACGTGAAATAGTGTTACTGTTGCCTAATAATTTTGCTATTTGATACCCCAAATTTAATTAAACCACAACTTAGTCACTACAATGTATATTTTACATTTTTATACCTCAAATTTAATTTTAATGTAAAAAATTGAACAATTATGTTTTGGTATCTAAAAATTCTATGAGATTTTCTTATACAATTTTTTACTTTTACATAATGGTTCAATATTTAGATTTCACTCGAATCCATGAATCCAATCCACCAATCCTTGTGAACCAATCCACCATAACATAAAAGTATAAATTTAGTTTGTACCTTACAAGATGTATCACTCAACAGTAGGAGAAGATTCGACCATTTTATATTTGCTCATTACGTGAAACATTAAAAAAATGATGAAAGAGAGACGATTCTAAAATATTGCAAGAGCAAATTCATAAACTCATTTATTACATTTACGGGTACTAAACAACTTCTACTAGCTACATGTAACATAATATGCGACATCTACATAAGCAAGTGTCAATAAATTGCTCCGGCGAAAAGAGTTGATTGTTGTATTGACGGTCAAATAAAAGAATTGGTCAAAACTTTCCATCATCTACTTTCCCTTCGTTTCATTTTTCACTCGCTTTCCATAACCTTTAGTACCTCAACTTTTGAAATTCTACACATAGGTGTAATTTTTGTATGTGTAATTAAAACACCCTCGAATAAAATGGGTATCCATACCCAACTCATACACATTTAGATTATGAAAGTAAATATTCATATCCTACCCAAACCCATCTACAAACTTCCAAACCCATATATACGCCACTCATACCATACCCATAATCAATGAATCTACTTGGGTTTATGTAAATATCATTTATTAGCCAAAATTTCAAAAAATTTGAAATTGGATGTTAGCCGCCATATATCTATTCTCAATCATTATTTTATTGTCAAGTCAACATTACTAACAAAATTGCTAACAAAAAAAGTAATTTAGACTAATAATACTAACAAAACACCATAACGGGCCACATAATACATGCCCATAGGCCATCTCCGCTTCGCGACAAGTCGCGGCATAGCCACTAGTTAATATATATAAAGTTTAAGTAGTGTTACTGTTGCCTAACTTCCTATAGAGCTTTGTTAATGTACACTACTGTCATACAATTTAGTAACCTATAGGCTAATGGAAGCATACCAATTAATATTATTCCCAAAGCTATTAACTTATTGAGGTACCATTTAACATGGATTTTGATAGTACTATTTTAATGTCCCATAACCATAAATCTCATTTTCTCACGTAAATCATAAACCAAACTTTGATTATAGATCATGAATTTTGATTAAGCTTTACATATATTAATTGGTTGACAAAGTGTATCGTTGAAAATTTGACCAGAAAGGTCGTTTTGTTGTGATTAATCATTTTCATTGGCTTGCAATACACTTCAACTTTTTTGGGATTTTACTTAACAACCACAATGGACTATAATGGAAGACTGTAATTTCCATAAAAAAATAGTCTTCTCTCGACACATTTTCTCTTCTTATGAAGAAAAAAAAACTCTGTTATCATATTCTCCCTACTGGATTTAAGAAAATTGATTTAGATCCTAGGGTTTTATTTTATATTTATTTTAATATTTTCATTTTTGGAGTGAGTTTTAATGTTATCTAATGTAAACTTACTATGTAGTACTCAAAATAAATTATCATTTTGTCATTCAAAATTTCAATCACTGTATAACATACTTGCACACAAAACGGGTAAACTGAGTTGCTCCTGATTAGTGATGACATTGAGGCGGACGAGGCGGGCAGGTACTTCAATGTCCAAATTCGCCCCACATTAAACGCGAGCAAGGTCGAGTGATGCTCGCATTATACAGGTCTAGGCAGTTTAACCCATTCCTATATGTAATTTGAATAAAATCTTAATTTTTTACGATAAAAATAAAGGAAAATAGTTCCTAATTAGAAAAAATAAATAATAGGTAGATTAAATGAGTGTAATTAGTTGAAATATGAAGTTTTGCACTTAACTAAAGTATCATTGGGCAAAAATATAATTTAAGATAAGTAAAAATAGGAGAAAGCATGTAAATATTTTGACAAACTAAATCAAGGTAGAATGAGTCAAGCCAGGGGAGAAGTAGTACCTATGTCCTACTCAACACGGTTCAGGTGAGATAATATTACTCTGTAAGTCGAGTTTAAATTTCTATCGCTACTTCTGGTTCAACCTATATAACCTTAACCCGATTGCCACCAGGTCAATCCTTGGATTCTAATTAACAACCATTTATGTGAATGTCGTAAAGAAATATATTCAGATAAGGAAATTATATTTGTGTGTTATTCGGGTGTTGGAGCTGTTGGAATATCCTTTGAACTTTTTTTAGGATTGAATTTTTTTTTTCCGTGCAAATTAGATAAAGGGCTTTGGACATTTCATTTTCTCTATTTTATGGAAACAGATCAGGTCAGTAACCTTATGGTAAGTAACCATGAGTAACCCGTCCACATCAGCATGACATCAACATTTCTCTCTCTCCTTGAAAGCCTTTAATTTTCCCCTCCTTAATCTTTGACGGACGATTTCTCACTCGTTTTAAGTCGATTTTTTTTGCACAGTTAGATCAGATTAATTGTGCTCTTCGAAATGATATCCACTTTGATATATTTTTGAAACAAAAAGAATTGAGCCATTTTTTATCAGTCTATACCATATGGTATTGATTGGTATTGAAATAAGAGCATACCTATGGTTTGAAAAGCGTACCATGGTGGTATGAACAAACCAAGACTGTAGGATGGTTGAATACATGATAGTAGAAGTATATTAACTGTCATTTACAACTTTTAACATTGTGTACCACAAGATACCACCCCGTACTAGGGTGGTATTTTATGGTATTGTATAGTATTTTTTGGTCCTGTAATTAGTTCACTCAAAAATTTGTAGATCCAATAGATCATGATGAACTCATTTCTTCTGTGCAAAAATATGGTATGCAGTTGTACCGAGAGGCAAGAAATTTTTTTCTCAAAAGATATTGAAAATGGATCTCGTTTTGTAGAGCACAACGAACTCGTTCCATCTGTGCAAAATAATTGAAATCCGAGTTAAAACGAAGAAGATATGAGCCGATTAAGAAAACAAGGGAAAGTAAAAATGACATTTAATTCTCCATCCTTAGATCTGGATTTTCTGAATGAAGAGTCCATATTTATTATTGATGAGTGTTGCACCCTATCTTTAGCCCTATTTTATCATTAACCGACAATTCTTTTAAACATAAGTCCGCAACAAAGTGCGAATAATTGTCTAGTAAGCATATATATTCAAAGAGCCATTCAATTGACTAATTATCATGCTCACCAATTTAATAACATGAAAATTTTTCAAATTAATCATCCTTGCCCAATTGAATGACTCGCTACAGAGATCAATTAAACCCTTTACATGCAAGGAATCGCCAATCTTACTATTGCAAGCAGATTAATTGTAACAAATGGGATCAAAGGGTAAACAAGATATAGTTTGGGGACTATTTTGTAATTAGGAAGACATAAAAGAAAGGGTCTGCTGTAATGGATAGTTATCGAATACAATAATCAGAAATTACTTCTTTCTATTGATTGGTATTGAAATAAGAGCATACCTATGGTTTGAAAAGCGTACCATGGTGGTATGAACAAACCAAGACTGTAGGATGGTTGAATACATGATAGTAGAAGTATATTAACTGTCATTTACAACTTTTAACATTGTGTACCACAAGATACCACCCCGTACTAGGGTGGTATTTTATGGTATTGTATGGTATTTTTTGGTCCTGTAATTAGTTCACTCAAAAATTTGTAGATCCAATAGATCATGATGAACTCATTTCTTCTGTGCAAACGTTTTCAAAAACAAATTAAAAACAAAGAAGATACCATATGGTATGCAGTTGTACCGAGAGGCAAGAATTTTTTTTCTCAAAAGATATTGAAAATGGATCTCGTTTTGTAGAGCACAACGAACTTGTTCCATCTGTGCAAAATAATTGAAATCCGAGTTAAAACAAAGAAGATATGAGCCGATTAAGAAAACAAGGGAAAGTAAAAATGACATTTAATTCTCCATCCTTAGATCTGGATTTTCTGAATGAAGAGTCCATATTTATTATTGATGAGTGTTGCACCCTATCTTTAGCCCTATTTTATCATTAACCGACAATTCTTTTAAACATAAGTCCGCAACAAAGTGCGAATAATTGTCTAGTAAGCATATATATTCAAAGAGCCATTCAATTGACTAATTATCATGCTCACCAATTTAATAACATGAAAATTTTTCAAATTAATCATCCTTGCCCAATTGAATGACTCGCTACAGAGATCAATTAAACCCTTTACATGCAAGGAATCGCCAATCTTACTATTGCAAGCAGATTAATTGTAACAAATGGGATCAAAGGGTAAACAAGATATAGTTTGGGGACTATTTTGTAATTAGGAAGACATAAAAGAAAGGGTCTGCTGTAATGGATAGTTATCGAATACAATAATCAGAAATTACTTCTTTCTATTTCCCTTTCCTTCCTCTCCTTCTTCTTCCTCCTTTTCTTCCTCTTCTTCCTCGACTTTCTATCCCTTCTTCTCTGTTCTTATCCCTATTTCCCAGCTCTTCTCTGTAATTCGTCTTCTTTCCCAGGAATTAACACTCGCCAAGACCATTTCTTCTTTCCCAGGGGTTACAAGGTGGTATCAGAGCCTTCTCTTGGCACTTTCCTCAATCATGGCGAACACGAGGGGAATGATCGACGACCGTCTCGCCGGCTTCATGGCGTCGACGATGCAGGTGCAAGGGGATCTCAATGATAAGATTGTCGTTGTTCGTGGCTTGGCCAATTCTCACACAAATCAGCTGCAGGAGCTTCTGGCTAGAGCTGATGGCCATTCTCAGCAGTTCGTCACCATCACCAGTCGTTTGGATAGCATGGCGGCGCGTTTCGCGGCGCGTTTTACAGAAATGGAAACTCGATTGGATACTCATCTCGGGCAATTCACTCACGAAATTCGTGATTTGCTGCAAGTCAAGCTTCCTAATCGACCATCGAGAGTTGTTGCCGACGCGGTCGTGCCGCTAGTGGACTGGAATGGTACTCGGGGCATCTTACCCTTGCCAACTCAGGGCTTCAGGGGCGTTGACCCTACCACAGCACTGGCACCTCGGGTTCAAGCTCCGATTCCTCAGGTTGCAGAGCGAGAGCAATCCCAGGCTCCGGCCCGAGGTAACAACCATCAACTTCCCCGATTAGATTTCCCCTCTTTCAATGGTGAAGCTCCCCGTGAATGGACTAGAAAATGCGAAACATTGTTTGAGACCTATGCAATCCCTTATGACCAGAAGGTAAATGTGGTTGTGATCTATTTTGTGCGAAGGGCTATTGTCTGGTTTGAAGGTTGGAATTATGGCAAACGTGAATTAATGTGGGAGGATTTCGTGGTTGCTTTGTGCCAGAGATTCGGTAGTCGTACTTATGGGGGTGTGGTAGCTGCATTCAATAAACTTAGGCAGCATGGCTCTTTGGCTGAGTATCAAGAGAAGTTTGAGGAGTTGAGGTCCTTGATGTCGCGATTCAACCCGGCCTTGGATGAGCTTTATTTCATTATCAGCTTTATCAATGGATTGGAGCAGGAGTTGCAGCTACTTGTGTCCATGTTGCAGCCTCAAATGTTAGTTCAAGCTTAACATTAAGCTCAATTGGAGGAAGATGCCATCGAAGCCTGCAAAAGGAAGTTTTACAACCCTGTACTAGAGTCATCTGCTGCAATGAATCCATTTCAAGGGCTTCTTTGCACATCAAACGTTGGCATGAAGGAGATCATTACATCTGAAGCGGTGGGAGTCACAGCTAAGCTGACTTTATACAGTGGAGTTATTCCACATTCATTGGCTGGATACTTGGCATTGCTGGTCCGCAAGCAAGCTTACAAATATGCTTCTAGATTTGGAATTGCATATAAGGAAGTAGTAGCCAATGAAACTCATGTGCAACAAAACTTAATTCATGATGATACTGATGTCCTACCTGTTGATTCTCTTGCGTATGAAAGTTCTTATGGTGTTGTATTCTCTAATGGATCGCGGATGAATTTCTTGTATACTGGTGGCAATGATTTTGTTATTGGAAGGCCATTTCCTACCCAGCCAGCTCTTGTTTTCATTCATTACAATGAGGGCTTGTTTCCTGGTAAATGGGATTGTATTTTGATGAAATTTCATGGGTACTGGTGGTCTCTGGTGAAAACTAAAAGAAGGGATGTGTTTTCCAACTTCAAAGAGCCATATAAGGATTTGGGTTCAAGGGTTGTTGTTGGATTTGATACTGAGTTGCTGCTGTTGAGGTTGAAACTGCTTTCCAGAAGGTGTGGACAGAATGCATGTGTTGGCATTGTAGCTGAGGCGATTTTTAGTGGTGATTATGAGCACTACAGTGTTGGTGCTAGTAAGATGGATAGGGGGTTTTTCGCCTATGTGAACGAAGTTGGCCGCCTGGATCATAGCTGGGTGGTAGTCAGTATTGGAGGGTTGGTTGATCTTAATTTGCAACAGGGTTGCATGGTGTTTGAAGGCAGTAATGAGACTGTGTTACAGTCCCATGTTCTTGTAGATTTTTGTGGTAGGGGACCAACTCTCGACTTTAAGGAGACCTACAAAGATCATTTTCTCGTGGAAGGCCAGCATGAAGAGCTCTGTAATTGGAAGTTTCACTGGGTTTGGGGGCTAATAGTGACAAAGCTACTAATGCTGCAAGTGGCTTATTCCATGCTACTTTCCTGGCTTCTCATAAAGTTCATGCCACTATCACTACTTTCGTCTGCTGCTGTACAATTGAGGGAAGATGATATTTCCAACACCTTTAGCATTTATGGGCTAGAGAAACATGGTATTGGTCGTGGAATTGGGTTGTTGATGGCCCAAGGGAAAGTTCAGCAAGTTGTTTTCATGATCGGGCTTGAAGATGCAGTTGACTGGCAGTAGGTTAATGGTGATCGAATGATAGGTGGTAGGTTCGATAGTTGCTTGGTGTTGGTGGAATCCCAAGGGAGAGGTGTTGGCTTTGACTTCGAAGAGTCATACAAGGAGTTTGGGCGAGCTATGGTCATTTCTTATGGAATAGGTAATTGTCCTGGATTCAAGGAGGGTTGTGGTACTGGATGTTGTCTTAATTTCAAAGAACCATACAAAGATGGTGTTCTAGTGGGCATCAATGTTGGAAAGTTGTGGAATGGGAATATGGCTTATGAGGTATACTAGTTGAAGTGTCACGTTTGTTGTGATGTTGTTGAACCTTATGGCAGAGTTTTGTACAGCTTGCAAGAGAGTAAAGATAATCAAGCATTACAAAGAATTTATATGAAGGGTAGTCCTTGCTATTGTCACGAATGGAAAATTCTCAGGTGAATTTATTACGAGTGCTTTTGGTGGAGTTCAAATTGGACAAGTGGATCAACTAAAGTCTGGGTACATATTGGTAGTTGCTGCATAATTCCAGCCACAACACTAGTCTATTTTTGGAATGGCTTTGCAAGCTTTCTGCAAATGAGTTCATCCCTGTTTCTTGAATGCTTTTACATTGCAGGATTGATTCTTAGCTGCTAGCTTCTTGTTGTTTTCAATAGGCTTGAGGACAAGCCTGATTTTAAGGAGTGGGGATTGTAACGAATGCGATCAAAGGGTAAACAAGATATAGTTTGGGGACTATTTTGTAATTAGGAAGACATATAAAAGAAAGAGTCTGTTGTAATGGATAGTTATCGAATACAATAATCAGAAATTACTTCCTTCTATTTCCCTTTCCTTCAATCTCCCTCTTCTTCCTCCTGTTCTTCCTCGACTTTCTTTCCCTTCTTCTTTGTTCTTATCCCTATTTCCCAGCTCTTCTCTGTAATCCGTCTCCTTTCCCAGGAATTAACACTCGCCAAGAAAATTTCTTCTTTCCCAAGAGTTACATTAATCCACGCTTATATTGCTTCGAAATCTATCCAGGAACCAAATCTTTCTTTCAGTATATGCATGCAATAACATATGCATCCGATGCATCCATTCTGACATCCCAAGTTCAAGGAACAGGAGGGGCAGAGTATTACCGGTTTCTAGGGATGTCACAATCTTCTTTTCCTTCCGGGAGCAATAGACCGGTAGAGAAAATTTGGACCGTGACATCTTTTCTTCATTTCCAATACGGGGTCCTTATGCATCAATTCATCGTCCATTTGTGAATAGCATACGCCTTGAACATATTTTTCGTTCCAAAATCCAGTTTTTTTCCAAATAACACTCTAAGATTGTCAGGATCTGGTAGGAAAGAATCGGTTGAAGGCGTGATTAATCACTCTCCTTAGAATGTTATTTGCTCCCAGTACAAATTGTTGGTTGGCTCAAGCAAACCACCCCCAGGAATCCTTTCAATTCTAAATCTGGAAGCAGCAATCTTGCAGACTTCTGTGGTTATGAAAACTAGCATGGCCCCGGCCAGTTGGCCGGAGGAAGGTGAGGTATGAAATTTGATAATGTAATGGGGTGTATAGCTTATTGTTGTATAGTTTTTTTTTTTTTGGGAAACTCGTGATAAAAATAGTAAATTTTAGCAGGAAAGAGACATGAATGATGCAATGAATCAAAAATCGGCCTTATGAACCAAAATCAAGTACATGTTACCTTGTGAAACAATATTGTTTCTGGTAATATGATGAGGTGGAGTAAGTTTTATAGAAACCGAATTCCAGAAAATTGAATAAAAAATCGCCTATCTCGTCGGTTTTCGGGAAATGAGTCTCTCACAATCGTTGCTAGCTTTTACTCGGCCCGTTGGTCGATTAATTTGCTTTATAAAACTTTCATCTTGTCGTCATTGTGCTTTCTGATTTTTGTTAGGCCATGATAAAATCTAAGGAAGTCAAGAACGAACAGCACGATTTGGGATAGGAACCGCCGTTGTCGTATCCCTAGAAAATGGTGGTAAACACAGACTCACCTGCCAAACTGGTTTGGATTGAGATTTTTATCGGGTATCAGGAAAACATGTGATTATAAATTAGACTTTATCAAAACGGGCCAAAACTTGAAATTCAGCATGTTTGACTGACCCATGCCAAATTCTAATTATTCTTTACTTTTAAACTTTCTATTTGAAAATAAAAAATAGTGAAAGAAAAGAGATGACTGCAATTCGCCATTTTCACATCGGGAATTAAACCATAAAATTTCAAAAGGAACTAAAGATGTTTAGGATCGTTTTAATGTTTAAAATAATCAAATAGATCGTTCCGTTTAGTTTTTTTACTAACAAATACCAAACGATTCCCTATAAAATACATTATATTTTGATCATTATGATATCAAATAATTATATAATATACATTTGAAATGATAAAAATTGGACTAATTGGGTTGGTCGAGGTTGAACCATTGAATAACTTTAAAATACATTATATTTTAGCCACTAAGATATAAAATAATAGCATAATATATACATTATGCCAGAGAAAATAGCTTGTTTTAGAATGACAAACCAATATTGTACATTTGTTTTACTTGATGGCCAAATCCCGTGTAGGTCAGACCCATTCAACACTTTTATTTTATGGTTAGCGGTTAGCCCATTAGATACCATGCATTAGTTTATTGTTAAATTTTTTTTTATTTTTAGCAATAGATACCATGCATTAGATACAACATTGCCACATAGATTAATGAAAAAAATATATAAAAACAAAAATTGCCCAAACCCCACATCCGACCGTCCGATCTCCCACCAAAAGTCCACCACTGAAAATTCCGACAAACACGCCCTTACCCACTTCTCCTTCTTCAATTCTTCGACAAAGCTTCCATCTTTCTTCCTTCCCCTTTCTCTCTCTCTCTGCCGACTAAACAAATTAATGTTGCTACTGTGAAATTTTCAGCGAAACAGAGGAAGAATGGCTTTCCAAGAATGGCTTTCCAAGACCACATGTCCCAAGAAATGGGCTTCCAACCGCAACCGCTCTCCGCCGCCTCCGCCTCTGTTTCCACTTCATCGATAAAACATTCTCTGTTTCCATCTCGTCTCCGCCCAAATTCTCTTCCACAGAATTCTTATTCCCACCATATTCTCCTCCATTGAAACCCAGAACCACTTCATCCAACAACCATCTCAAAACTTGAAACCCCAAATCCATCAAAACTTGAAACCCCACATCCCCCTAATTTCCAATCTCCTATCTCCATCTATATAGATCTAAATTCCAATCTCCTGTTCACTCAAATCTGAAAATATCCTATCCATGACGAGTCGTCCGACGCGGCGGCTCATTTCGTGGCTATGCACAGGCTGTAGATGTCGAAGGCGAGGAAGCCATTGCTCGATACCATCGCCAAGGAGCTGGCGACCCATCATCGTCGCCATCATCAACCGACCGTTGCATTTCCCAGTCGCCCCCATCCCCCTCTCATCTTCATGTTCATTTCACAATTCTTGTCGGTTTTGAAGCTTTGTAAAATCGAAACAAAAATCAACTGGAGATTTTAGATCTGGGTGGATTTGGGAGGACAAAGCGGCGTCGGGGGGGTCGGTGGTGGATTGAATCTGGAACGCCATCGGAGTCGGGGGAAGGATATGGGTTTGGTGGTTGGGGTCGGTGGTGGAAGGTGGAGAGTGTGGAAGGAGAAGAGGAGAGGGAGAAGAGAGAGTTCTACGGCAGCATCCAGTGGTGGGAGAGGAGAGAGGATGGGGAAAAAATTAATGATTTTTCATTATTTTTAAATTAAAATATGACATGGCAAATATTGTTGACTTGTCGATGATGTGTCCGGTGAGTTGGCAGCCAGCTAAGCAATCCATTAATTTGACTAATGGTGTTACTGACGGCGTTAATATATGTAACGGAAATGGCTATATTTGTCATGAAACTTTCTAAATTCTGGCTATATTTGGTATTTCGCCAAAAGTGGCTATTATTGTCACAAACGTGAAAGTTTTGGCCTTACAGATGAATTTTGCCTATATTTTATCACCATGGAGAAATAAAAGGGCTTAAAGAAAAAAATTGACACTCCTGGACCCGTTTAAATCCGCATGTGTACGGTAAGTTGGCCCGTTCCACGGAGGAAAGAGAAAAAAATTGACACTCTCTATTCTGCCCTTCCTACAAACGCTCCCGGAGCAGGGAATTTGAAATGGGGGAATGGTTTTTTCCTCCCTGCTATTATATGTTTTTAATTTAAAAAGATACAACAAATGTATTTAGTGTGATTGGTTATGATCTTTGCTTTTCTTTAAAATGGTCATGGTTCGAATCCCAGTACGTGTCTTTTTATAATGAATAAAAAAAAAGTAATTGTGAAGAGTTTTGGCAGTCCTCTATTTATACTTGTGAAAACTAGAAGTTACCTCCGAAGAGACACATCCTTTCACAGAAAAAGAGAAGTTACATTTCTGAAAAGATACGGAATTACAACTCTATTGACTAACTTTAATACGAAGATCTCGAAAAATTATACGGAGAAAAATTGATCGATCTCAAGGTTACATCGTTTGAAGTTCAGACTTTAAGCTAGATGAGATCAGTGGCTTAACCAACGATTTTTGGGTTAGTTCGCTGGAGTCATTGGCGACTTGGGAGTAGGGATGGCAAATTACCCACCCATGGGTAATTATACCCAAACCCAAGTAGACCCATTGATAATGTGTTGGGTATGGGTGAAGTGCATATGGATTTGGGGGTTTATAGATGAGTTTGGGTAAGGTATGAATATTGCTTCCATAATCTAAATGGGTATGGGTTGAATATGGATATCCATTTACTTGAGGGTGTTGTAACTACACATGCAAAAATTGGACCTATTTGTAAAACTTGAAAAGTTTAGGTACCAAAATGTAAGACCAAAAAAATTTAGGTACCAAAACGTAATTTTCCATCGATATTTTGAGGACTTATATGCAAAAAAAATTAAATTTAGGTACTAAATATGCATATCTATTAAGTTTGGGTACCAAACTGTAATTTGTATTTGGGCATGGGTACAAACCCATTTGATATAAACCCAACTCTACCCAAAGTAAATTGGTATGGGTACAAACCCATCAAACTCTACCTATATCCATCTATTTAGATATTATATCCAACCCAATTGGGTTGGATAGTAAGAATCTCATGGATATGTGCAAAGTTGTCATTCCTACTCGGGAGGCTCGCTTCCGTTTGCTACGATCTACGTTTGTTCGAAATTGATTCGGTTCCATCTGCCACGATTAAGGAAAGATCACTTTTGTTTTCAATGAACCACTCAGCCGGGCCTATTTCTGCATAAATTCTGGGACTTGGTGAAGCACTTCCTTTCGGAGACGAACTCGGCGCGAGGTCGCAATCGTTGTCAAACCTTTAGGAGCCTTTTCGCCAGTTGGGCAGCGTCATCTCAGGCATCAATTCGAGGTTGTAGCATTGTTCTCCGGCGCTACTGCGTGTTCGAAGAGTGGTCGAGGAAGACTAAACCCTTTGATTGGACAGGAGAGGAGTTGCCAAGAGGCCAGGAAAATGACCAGGTGAAAATGGCGGCAGCGATGGGGTACCAGTGTGTAGAGTGTGGATTCGCCATCAGAACACTTTACGTTCAGTACTCTCCAGGGAACATCCGCCTCATGAAATGCGTAAGCTTCTAGTGGAACTCGTTTGGCTTCACTGTTGCGATTTTGGCCTGTTCTCTGTGCTTAATTCTTTTCACTTTTTTTTTTCTTTCTATGGGGTGCGGGGATGTGCTCTCTCTTCTGGGTTGATTTTCCACAGGAGAATTGCAAATCCGTAGCGGATGAATACATCGAATGTGAATTCATGGTACGTTTTATTTGATAATTTCTGCTTGAGAATTTGCATTTGTTCAATCCTTTAATGAATCTGGTGTGTTCCTCTGTGGAATTTGATTAGATTATCTTGATCGATTTGATTCTGCATAAGCCCAAAGCTTATCGTCATCTACTCTTCAACGTTCTCAATCAGAAGAGCGCAGTCATTGAGGTACAAGGGCAGCTTAAATTCGGTTATGGCTGTCTCTTTTCCAATGATTACTAATGGTTGCTGATGGTGAGCTGCTGAAAATTTTCAGGGTTTGTTGCGGAATGCGATTTGGGGTTTCGTTCTTCTGGATGGTTGTATCCACTTGAGTGGCCATCATGTGTCTTGCTTTAATCAAGTTGAAATGCTCTTGACTCACTGAATGTTATTTGTTAAGGTCCTTAGCAAATCCAGATAGATGTATGCTTTTGCATTGGCAGGAGGGTGAAAGAAGAGGCTCTTCATCGAGCATAATTTCTTTGTTTTGGAGATACCGAAAGGTTTGTTTTTTGAATGTTTGAAGGCAGCTAAGTTCTGATTTGGAGCCTATGCATAACTCCTGTGCTTCCTTGCTTCATGCAGGTGTTCATGGCTTGTCTTGTTGGTAATTCACTTTTTCTCTGTGTTTTTCTTCTCGCCACAAGGATTCTGCTGAACTCTTCGCTTACATTTTCCAGGTAAATGTTTCCCCTGTCCTACCCTAACTTGTCCCCCCTATACATTTACAAGTTTTTTTCATTAAACCCAGTGACTGTCTGATGACTAAGGTAGAGTGCGATTAAATAGTAAGAAATGGTGGCAAAGTTCTGACTATTGGATTCATGAGCCCAGATGGTTAGGAAGTATTTGTGGGAAATGGTGGCAAAGTTCTGACTATTTTAGTTCTGGTTGACTAAGTTTACTTACGTTATTGGTGAAAGATGATTCATAGAGATTGATGTGTGCTTCTATGTAGCAAATATATGCTAGCCCAGATCTATACTTGTGCATCCTTTCCTTGTGTACTCTTGTTGGCTAACAAAAGTAGCTAAGATCTTTTCTTTGTTCCTTCTGGAATCGGCAGATTCAGAGACCTTTTGCTTGTGATTCTGGTGTCAAGTTACTTTAAGATTTTTCTCATCACCATGATGGTATGTATTGCTTGCTGGAGAGCACATTAAATTGTTCTTACTATTTGGCTCATCCTGCTTACTGTTATCTTCCTTACCATTAATTGGGCAACCCTGAGTAAATCTGGCCATATGACATACAGGTCTGGGAATTTCCTCTGTCAGTGATTTTGATCATTGATCTTTTTGTTGTTTCGTCTAACACAGTGGCACTTAAAGGTCAGATACAATATTGCTTGTACTTCTTGTATACTTTATTGCTGTGATATGTGTTTTAATGCAGCAACTTTGTTTCCTTTGCCTTGATACATAAAGGACTTTTGAACATATATTTGTGTCATGTGCCAGAACTATGCCTTGGTAGTTGGTAGTGCCATAAGTGTCACCTTTATGTTGATTTAAACACATCATAGAGCAAATCCTAATGGCTTTACGGTCTATGCTCCTCTAATTTGGTTGTGCTTGTTTAGGGAACAGATTTTCATACAATCTGGTTCTAGCATAGATTACACAATGCTTCCTTTCTAGTAGCAGTGAGCTTGATTAATTTAAGCTATTGCTTGACGAAAAAACATAATGGTGTATCTATTGCTGCTTACGCCTCATCAATTGATATTTCCTTGACAAAGCAGTCACCACGGGGTCAAGCACGGCTAGATGTTTGGGGATCTGTTTCTCGGCCCACTGTGTTAAGCTAATTGCCACTCACGTCCTCGAGCTGCCCCATACTATGTGGAAGAACAACTTCAGTGGATAAAAATCTTCAATGTACTGCAGTTTCTGGGATAAAATCCTTCCATAACTAGTTCATTCAACATTCACACCTCTGCTTTGCTATTTTGTTTTGTTAGTAGTAATATGAGGCAGTTCTGCATTGGTCGATTTGGTATTAGCAGTTATTTTTTGAGTCCAATTGGTATGACAACTTGCACAAACAGTGCTTTGTTTCTATGGCACAATCCCACCTTTCTTCATTAATTTCGTCTCTTGGAGTTTCTGGGGATCATCGGTCCAATTTTGCACGGTATAGGTGACTTTCTGTGAAGTGTGATCCCCGATTGATAGTGCTCTTGACTTGCATATCATAAGCCTGAACCTGAAGAAAGTCGTCCATACAGCACGTCCAGAAAGAATAGTTGTTTCCGTCCATTTTTGGTAGGCATGTCGACTACTGGCCTTCTATTTGGCTTGCTAGTGGTAGAGATGACTTAGAGGCTTGATTGAAGAACCCTGGATTTCTTTGGTTTGGAGTGGAATCTAGGGCTGTTAATGATCCGAGCCGAGCCGAATTTTGTCATAGTTCAGACTCGGCTCGTTAATATATTTTCAGACTCGAGCTCGACTTGTGTTCGTCATGAGCTTTAATATGCAAGCTCGAACTCGGTTCGTTTATGAAAACGAAAGCTCGAGCTCTATTCGAGCTCAGCTCGCCAAATATGTTTAACGAGCCTAAAATCAAGTTTAGCACATATATATAATGTTAATTATAGCTCAAGATCGAGCTAGAACTGAGCACAAAATATACATTAAAACCTATAGCAAAGTCTAGCAAAACACAACACAATATTTATCCCAATTTCAATACATAAAATCTATGAATTTCAATCATTTCTAATGCCAAACCGTTAATTGAGCATGTTCGCGAGCTTTCGAGCTGAACATGGTATGGCTCGAGTTCGGCTCGTTTAGTTTACGAGCTTGTTCGCGAGTCGGCTCGATTAAGACGAATCGAGTCTCGAACGAGTTTTTCTCGAGTAGGACGCCGAGCAGTTCATGAACGGCTTGGTTCATTAACGGCCCTAGTGGAATCGTCTTGAGAAAGTACTTAATGTAATTTAGGGATTTGATGAAGACGTAAGAGAGGTAAGTTGACCGAAGTCTATTTTTTGCATTATTCACCCAGATTTGGACCCGTCCGTTAGAAAGATATATTCTATCTATGCTAATTGTTCGAAGTAAATATATACTTGTATTTGGTATGATAAAAATAACCCAAATAATTTCGTTACTGAAAAACGAGGGAAGAAGAATGATGAAGAGGGTTCGGCGGCTAGGAGGCGGCTCAAGATAGGGTGAGTAACTTTAGGATGAGTAACAATGAGTAACCAAATATGGACCCTTCTTTTAAGTGACTGCAGATCTAAAGGTGAAGAATTAAAGGAATTTATTTTCCCTAGTTTTCTTAATTGGATCAAACTTCTTCATTCTAACTCGGATTTCAAATTTTTTTTTTTTGCACAGATGGAACGAGTTTGTTGTGCTCTACAAAATGATATTCATTTTCAATATTTTTTTAGAAAAAAAAATTTCATCATTCTCGTTACCAACTCCATACCATATGGTATCTCCTTCGTTGTTTAGTCATTTTCGGAAATTTTTGCACAAAAGGAACGATTTAATCATGATCTATTGGATTTCAAAATTTTATGGGGGAAAAAATTTCAAACCTCTCGTTACCAACTACATACCATACTATACCACCCTGGTATGAGGTGGTATTTTTCATACCATATGGTATGCTGTTATTTAATACCATATGATATTGACTGGTATTAAATAGGGTTAATATTTTCGTATGGCCTGAACTTTGACCAAAATAAACATCTTGGCCAATCTTTTAGATCTATAACATCCTGGCCCGAACTATACACCAAAATAAACAATTTGGCCAAACCCAATGTTTGACTGTTAACTTGGACGGTCAAACGCGTTGACCGTTAGTCAACACGCCATGTCACTGCCAAGTCAGCATAAAATATTTAAAATAATTCACCATTTCCACACATTCCCTAATTTTAAATTATTATAAATTAAAAAAAATCATCTAATACCTTAGTTAAACCAAAAATAAAAACGAAAAAAATTAAATATTTATCAGATCTTCTGACTTGGCAGTGACGTGGCGCGTTGACCGTTAGTCAACGCGTTTGTCCGTCCAAGTTAACGGTCAAACATCGGGTTTGGCCAAATTATTTATTTTGGTGTATAGTTCGGGCCAGGATGTTATAGATCGAAAAGATTGGCTAGGATGTTTATTTTGGTCAAAGTTCAGGCCATACGAAAATATTAACCCTATTAAATAACAGCATAGTATTGACTGGTATGCTGTTATTTAATACCAGTCAATACCATATGGTATTGACTATACCATATCACCATATGGTATAGACTGGTAATAACTGACAAATTTTTGTTGTTCCAAAAAATATCAAAGTGGATATCATTTTGAAGAGCACAATTAATCCGATCTAACTGTGCAAATAAAAAAGTAAATTCCAAGTTAAAACGAGTGAGAAATCGTCCGTTAAAGATTAAGGGAAAGAAAATTAATAATTTTTCCAGGAGAGAGAAGGAGGCGCTGATGTGGCAGATTCTTATTAGGTTATGCATGGAGTTACTCACACAAGGTTACTCACCGGATCTGCTCCCCTAGGAGGCAGTCGAGATAAAAGTCGACCAGGATTAGGAGAGCAAAGAGATAGGATTTAGTGAAATAAACCAAAAATTATCAAATTATTTTAGATTTTTATTTTTTGGTTAATTTGAAAATGATAAATAATAAAAATTAGAAAAATAATTGGAATTTTTAATGATTTTTGGGCTGACGAGGCAATGACGTGGCGTGTTGACCGTTCAAATTGACGGTCAAACATATGTCAGGTCAATTGAGTTTATATTCTACATAGTTGAGGTCCGAATGTTAATTCTGAAACTATGGGCCAAATTGATTATACGGTCATGGTTCGGGACAAAATAAAGTATTAACCTAAATTTAATGAGATATAACTCATCTTACTCATGGACACGAGTTTAAGTGAACTATTGTGCAACCCTTTTCGAGCAGTCAAGTGAACTAAAACGAGGATAAAAAAAACATAAACGAGTTTTGATTAAAGTAGTGTTACACTTCCACACACATGTATCCATTAGAAGACACGACTTGCATGTTTTTTTATAAACATCGTAAAAAATATGGGAGAGACTAATCACCTCGGTTACAATTGGTAATGATCGTTGATTTCATGATCTGAGTACTTACACACCATAGAATTCAACCATAAAATCGTTATTTGTATAAGGTAACCTCATTGATACAAACTTACACATAATCATGTATGTCTCCAAAAAGTACTAACAAGATCCCTTTGCCATTTCACCAACCATATGTTCATATCTATTGAGTTTTCATTAGATGTAACACGAGACCATACATGCTAATGTGGCACACTTACCCTTGCCAATTGCCATAATATCTCTACGAAGTAGGGGTGTTCAAATGGTTATCATGGTTATTACCAAATCAAATAAGGCTAAATTTCATTAACTATGGAATGCAATATCATAACCAAACCGTCCAAACTAATACAACAACCAAATTAACCAAACTAAAGTTTAATCGATTTGGTTAATTGGTTAACCAGATTAACCAATATAATATCATATTATCATCAAGTGAGAAAAATTTTGGTTAATTTATCAATTCACAATTTATATAATGAATAAAACATAACAATCAACACATAGTTATAGTTGACCCTTAACATAAATACATGCAACTAAGACCATTATCTTACGGTTAGTATAGAAGTATTCACCAAACAAAAATTTATCACAATGGTATGGATTAATGAATTGTTGTGTTTGTTTGAATTGACTTAGCCTTTTAGCAATTTTCATAGGCTGAAAAGGACCTTGCTTTCAAGTTTTCATCCAACATAATGTATGAGATTTATCTAAATTAGGCGGTCATTTGTTGTGGTCTACACTCTACATATACAAATATACATTATAGGAACAATATCAAGCTTTATATTTCTAGAAGAATGAACGTTTGACTCTTGAGTGTGTATATATTAGATATATAACTAATTATTTATCTGGTTAATTTGGTTTGGCTGGTTAGGAGTGTCTGAAACCAAACCACCTAAACCAAACAAGCTAAAAACTTTAACCAAACCAAACCAATTATTCAAATTAACCAAACCAAATTATCCAAATAGTACTGGTTAAAACGGTTATCATGGTAACCACACCGTTTGAACACCCCTACTACGAAGACAATAAGCATTAATGAAAATGAAAGAAGAGGAGAAGAAGGGAAGAAAGCAAGGGGGCATTGAATAAGAGGACCCAATATTGAGAGTGACACAATAATGGCAGAGGAGTCCTCTCTTGCTTTTGGCTCTCTTCTCCATTCTCAATGCTGCAAACCAAACCAAACATGGAGAGTAGTTATTACATAAGACAAGTTAATTAGGGTTTGCTCTTTTGAGATAATTTTACCTTTCTGTGTATGATTTCTTGCAAGGAAATTAATCCTTCTTTTTCTTTCAAAGGTATTATGTCAAAGGTCAAGAGAGCAGAACAATCAATGAGTTATCAGAATTCAGAAAGAAGTAAAAAGGGAAGGGGCAAAAAAGAAAGGGTTCCTTTGTAGCTAGGGTTTCTGTTTATGACTTTATGCTACTTTCTTCACTCACTTCACTTAGTGGTATGTGTAAGAAAACAAAAATTGAAGTCAAGAGAGAGAGAGGGAGAGGGAGAGGATGAGACAAAGAAAGAGGGGGTAAGACCGTAAGATGGAGATGGTTTTGGGTTGGTGGGCACACACAGCAAAATTTTGCTTGAATGGGGAAGAGATTTTACAGTGTCAAAAGAAAAAAGGGTCAGTTAGTCCAAACTAAGGTTGTCAATTCGCGGGCTGATCCGGACCCGATCGAGCTAGTAGGTCAAGAGTTAATGTTAGGGGTGAACAAACACACCCGCAAACCGACCTACCCGTATTTATCGCTAAATCGAAGGTTTTGGGTTGGGTGAGGGTTTTCTTTTGTACAACCCGCCTCTTTTGAGTTGGGTTTGGATTTTGGATTACACAACCCGTAGAACACGACCCAACCCGTGTTCTAATTATTGGTATGAGTTCGTATCCAAAAAAATATTTATGTCGTATATAGTCATACTTGTGAGAAAATTAAGATATTTCGCCATGTTTTTCTCTTAAAGTCTCACTAATCTAATGCATTCTTCGACTTAAAGTTTAGACATATATTTAATATAGCTACGATTCATGCAATTTTTTTTTCTTGTGTACAATTTTAAAAGAATATCATATTATGGATGCGTTCATTTGTAACCTTTTTAGCCTATTTCAACAAATGTCGTGAAAAAAACTAGACATAAGTTGAAGTAAATCAAGTTTTATTAAAATTCGAACAATATTTGTGATTTTTGATACCTTTCACCTCGGTTTATTCGTTTGAATTTTTATTTTGTTATAAAATATTTTTATGATGTATAATAATTACATATTTTGTGTTGGGTTGGGTTTTTACTTAAAAATATCGCCAACCCGACCCAACCCAATTAGAAACAAACCGTAGGGTTTAGATTTTTTTGGGTGGGTTTGGGTTTAATATTTCCCAAACCGTAGTGCATGGGTCGGGTGATTAAAATGCCTAAACCCGGACCACCCGACCCATGCACACCCCTAGTTAATGTGTCACTCGTTTTAGTCCGGTTTAGCCCGAAAATATGAAAAGAGTCATTATATTGTACTTATCCTGATAAATTATATCAAATCTCATCTAACATATGAGTTATAACATATAATATTCCACCAAAATAACATGTCGTACTTAGATCCAACATATAGTGAAAATTCACACACACTTATATAACATCAATATTCAAATGTTCAACTTATTATTCCAATTGAGTTAGGCGAAAAGAAACATCGAAAAATAGGTGTATTCCACAAACCAAAGAAAAAATTACACAATTTGACCTTCAATTAGGTATCTTGTTGCGATCGACCCGACGAGTGCGTGCGGCCCGATTTTCTCACCGAGTCAGGGTCAAAGTGGATCGACCCCCGGATCGACCCGCGGGTTGACAACCTTGGTCCACACACAGACACAAAACTCACTTCCACATAGGGGTGGCTATACGGTCCGGTCCGGTTAAATTGGCCCAAATTGATCCGGTCTTTTTGAAAATATAAGGACCGAAGATTGGATTGGATCCAATCCGGTCTTGATCCGGTCCGTTCCCAATTCGGTCTTGATTTTACATTGAGATTGTGGGATTTGAGTGGCCTAAGGCCTTAAAGGGTGAGGAGTTGGTTAAGTTTTGTACTAAGTGCAAAGGTTTGTGACCGTTTATGCAAATTACCCTTAAGTTTTGGGTGTTGAGCTCTCTTATCCGGTCTTTATCCGGTTTTTTACCTCAAATCTAAGCCCAAAGATTGGATTGGATTGTTTACTATCCGGTCCCGGTCAGGTCTCGGTCCGGTTTCCGGTTTTTAATCCGGTCCCGGTCCAAATAGCCACCCCTACTTCCACACACTAGTTGCTGGTATCATGACGAAAACTTATGATTCCAATTGAGTTAGGCGAAAAGAAACATCGAAAAATAGGTGCATTCCACAAACCAAAGAAAAAAATAACACAATTTGACCTTCAATCAGATATCTTATTGCGGTCGACCCGGCGAGTGCGTACAGCCCGATTTTCTCACCAAGTCAGGGTCAAAGTGGGTCGACCCGCGAATCGACCCACAAGTTGACAACCTTGGTCACACACAAGCACAAAACTCACTTCCACACACTAGCTGCTGGTATCATGACGAAAGCTTTTAAATGCTCTTATTAAATACACTTCTCTTGTCTGTGCCCCAAAACCCTCTCTCCCTCTCAATTTTATTGTCCAGTTTTGAACTACATTGCTAATTAGCAGGGTTTTTTTTCTCTTTTGGGCAGTCCATCTCTGCACAGAAGTCGGGTCATCGGAGCTATCTAGTCGAGTGTGTCGATTGAAGGAGTCGTGTCCGCCGTTAAAGTGGAATTATTCTAAAATTCATTGCTTGATTTTGCATGCATTGCTCTCAAAATGCATAGACTTTTGAGGATGTGTTTGAAATACTTCACCCTAGTTGGAACATAACTCTCAGACTTGTAGATATTCTAAAATAAAACGCTTTATCTTATAAACCCTGTAAACTTACATTGGAATTATACCAAAAAACATTAAAAACACTGAAAAGTAATAGCCGAAATAGCTAGTATTGGGTAAATCAATTGAACCGCTAAACATCACCATAAATTAAAACATAACATTACTAAACTAACCTTAATTAACTAACAAAACGCTAAAATACTTAGGGGTCGTTTGGAAGTTGCGATTGTTAAATAGATGTATTGTTGAAAATGCATGTATAATATTATACATGTAATGTCGAATTTGATGCATTATAGAATACAACGTTTGGTATGTGTGATTGTGTATGTCGCATCAACTAAAAGCTGAGACAAAACAATCTCAACAATCACAACTAAAAGTTGAGATATAACAATCACTCAAAATGAGTGATGGTTTCTGTCACATCACAGAAACAATCCATGTATTGTTTCTGCTAAATAAAAAAAAAAAACGATGCATTGTAAACAATACATGCATAATAACAATCTCAACAAAACTATCGTAACTTCCAAACGACCCCTTAATCTTTTTTTTCGATCTTTTTACGGCGTGGCCCTAACCTCATCTGCACTCCAAAAACCACCCGTTACTGCTCCAAATACCCATCCTCCATCCCGGCACCGTCGGATTTGTTTGTCAGTGGAGAATTAGCAATCCCCATAAAGCATGTCTTCAAACCTAGTGTTGGAAGAAGCTAAATTGATAGTTACCGTTGCTAGACTCGAAAGTTCATCGTCCTCACTCCTAAAGATTGGCTTGAATGGCAATACTCAACATCATTGAACTCTACAGTTTGCATGCATGTGATGGTTAACACAAAAGTTTGAGTTTAGTGTGTGATCAATTTTAACTCACTGAAAACTAAACCTTCAGGATCACTAAATAGAAACTCTCAATACTAATAATCAGTTGTTTTGTCCTTCAATCTATTATTTGCTGGTAGAAAATTTTCCCTTTTCCAATTTGGATATTTACTGTGAGAATGATATAAGATATACAATTAACTTTTTCTCAACAACTCGAATTTTTGCAAACAACTAGTTTATAACATGATATCAGAGTTGGTTTGATCAAGTGGTGGTATGTTTGAATCTTCACGATCTTCAATACTAACATTTGATTGAAGCACCAGGTATGGTGGACATGTGTAAACAGGGGCGAAGCCAGGATTCTAAATCCGGGGGAGGGGCAAAAATAAAATTTCCAAACATACCAATAAAATAATAGTAATAATATAAAATATATTAATATTATTTATTATCTTAAACGTACACGTCGCTCTTTGATATCAATAAAATCACTCAAAATATCATCTAAACTAAAAGTGTCCACTATATCACGTTCAATATAAATAATAAGACCATCGGCTAGAAAATCATCACCCATTTTGTTGCGCAGTTTGGTCTTCGCTAACTTCATGGCAGAAAAAGCTCGTTCCCCACTAGCAGTAGAGACTGGAAGAGTCAAAACAAGACGAATCAGGCGATCAACAAGATCGAAGTCCTTTGACTTCCCAGACTCGGCTAAACCATGACACCGTTCAGCAACAGATAATAGATTCACCAAAGTAGGATGTGCAAGAGCAGCACCATGAAAAATCCTCAACTGGAATGCCAATCTATCTATTTCTTTCTCAGAAAAATCCAAAGGATAATACTTTTCTGCAAGACTGCAAATAGCATTAGCATCGAAGGCTTTATATCCATTGCTAGGATCCAAACTCGAGCTCAATTTCAGAAGTTCAACAATCTTTTCCTCAAATCTTGCTCTCAATTCCTCTATCTGAACATCAAGGGCAGCATTGAATATATCAAAATGATAATGATGCTCATTTGTGATAGTATCTACCTGTCTGCAAGGACGACCTTCAAAATGTGGAGCACTAAAATCTGGAACAGTAATACCATACTCCTTGCAGAACTTGTTGACCTTTGCCAAGAAAAAATCCCAACCTTCATCTCTCATTTTGTTCAACACCATTTTAGTAATTTTCACCAAACTCATGGCATTCACAATGTCTTGAGACTTATGCTGCATAGCACGACAAAGTGTATCAGTGGTGCCAAAGATATCATTCAATAGAAGTAGAATGAAAATAAACTCATATGATGACATCTTCAAAGCTACACGAGCATCCCCTTTGTTTTTGGCGGTATACCCATCTTTCTTTATGTCTTCCAGAACTTTGTAAGATGATTCATACAATCGAATAACACTTGATATAGAATTCAGATGTGAACTCCAACGAGTATCACCAGCTCGTTGTAAGGTACTCATTTGATTAACACCGGTTCCTGTGGCAATCTCTTCCCCAGCTACCAATCGAGCAATCCTAGCTGCTTCAACAACTTCCAATTGATCATGTCTCTTAAAAGAAGCATTAACGGCATTTACAATATGTGTCAAGTCTATGAAAAACTCGTGCACAGCTGTCACATCTTTAGATGCCGCAACTAGTGCTAATCGAAGACGATGAGCCATACAATGCACATAATAAGCTTAAGGATGGTCTTTCAGAAACAATGCTTTCAAACCACTCCATTCACCACGCATATTACTAGCACCATCATATCCCTGCCCACGAAGATTCTGAATAGCAAACTTATGGGAAGAAAGAGTTAAGCAAATCGAAGTGTGCAAAGTCATTGATGTTGTATCTCTAACATGGACAACATCGAAGGATCTCTCCTGGATAAGCCCTTGAGAATCAACAAATCGAAGAATGATAGCCATTTGTTCATGTTTACTCTCATCACAAGCCTCATCCACAATGATGGAGAATTTAGAATCTCCTATTTCTTAAAATATTTTGTTGCGTACCTTCTTAGCTAGCACATGAAGAATTTGCTTCTGAATATCGGGTGATGTATACTTTGCATTCTTCGAAGCATTACCTAGCACGGTACTTTTGACTTCGTCATTGTAGTAAGAGAAGGATGGATTAGTCACTCTCGGACTAATGAGAGAATCCTCATTCACCACAACATTAGAGCTCTCATCAATGCCCAAATTCAAAGCTCCAGGAACTACTTGTACTTCCTCTTCCAAATGATTAGTGCATGGCAAAACATTTCTTGTAAAATATGCATCTAACTTCTTTTGTTTCCTCTTCATGGTAACTAACAAAAACAATACAGAAATTTAAAGTCATTAACATTGTCAATCGAGAACCAAACCAATAAAACATGGACACATTTGTAATCCAAATTCAAAGTAAACACAAAACCATCTCATTCTAATTTGACAGTATAAGCACACCTATTGCTCCCCTGCCCCTAATTTACCATAGGTGTTTGAGAATTGAGACAATCTTATATGACAATTTTCATTCTCCAATTTCAGTTTAGCATCCACTAAATTAATTAATCGTCAATCCAATACTCAATTACCAAACTGAAAACCCAATTACACATAAAAAACCCTATCAATTCCACAAACCACCGAAAATAAGAATTGGAGCTGCATAAACTAGAGGGAGCAGTAAAGGTACTCTCAATGGGCGACCTTTAGGGGGAAAGAAGCACGGACGGAGATGACAGCCGTCGACGACTCTGTGATACCGAGTAGAGAACGGACGGAGATGAGATGGTGATCGGGCGAAGAAGCAGAGCATTGAGTCCCGACGGCAACAGCAACGGCGACGGAACGAGTGACTATGATCTCCGGTTGGCCGAAGAAGTCGAGTCTGGAGTCCCGGCGAGTGAACGGAGATGAAGAGGGATGACGAGGCGGGAAAATTTTGGGGGAAAACCCTGCGCGCGAGGAAGAGCTCTGTTTCCCGAAAATGAATTGGGATTTAGCCACTTAGGGGTTTTTTCTCGTTTTTTGGAGCACAAGAGCTTTTAATTAAAATTAATTAAATTACAAAATAAAAATGGTGCAAAAAAAATAAGGGTAGGGATGCAGAAGACAAGGTTCAAACATGCAACCTCCCATTACCAAGCTTGGAGTTTTACCACTGCACTACAACTATTATACATGTTTATTTATTGGGGATACCTATACTTCAATGTTTTCTATAAATTCCCGGGGGAGGGGGGGGGGGGGCACTGCTCTAACTTCGCCCCTGTGTGTAAAGTTCAAGCATGTGAGTTGACTTTCATTTGAAAGAGAATATAAGAAATTGATATAAGATCTATAATTAACTTTTTTCTAATAATTTGAGTTATTTTTTTGATTACCTAATAATTTGAGTTATTGAAATCAACTGATTTATGACATTGTGAGACACCAGTGGAAACTTTCATACAGAGAAAGAGAGAGAGGGAGAGATCAATTGAATTGCCAAGTGTATCATAATGTTGGCAAATGGATGGGGTTTGCTTGTGTTGTTAGTGAACCAAGCCGCTAATGAACGAGTCGTCGTCCGACTCGAGAAAAACTCGTTCGAGACTTGATTCGTCTTAATCGAGCTAGCTCGCGAACAAGCTCATTCACTAAACGAGCTGAACTCGAGTCATACCATGTTCAGCTCGAAAGCTCACGAGCAAGCTCATTTTAATGGTTCAGTATCATAAAAGATTAGAATTCATAGATTTTATGTATTGAAATTGGGATAAATATTGTGTTTTGTTTTGTTAGACTTTGCTACAGGTTTGAATGTAATTTTGTGCTCAGTTCTAGCTAAATCTTGAGCTATAATGAACATTTTATGTGTTGAACTCAATTTGGCCTCGTTAAACTTATTTAGCGAGCCGAGCTCGAGTTTGCATATTAAAGCTCGTAACGAACTCGAACCGAGCTCGAACCTGAAAATATATTAATGTGCCGAGCCCAAACTATGGTAAACTTCTGCTCGGCTCGGATCATTAACAACCCTAGTTATGGGCTATCAGAGTGGACCACTGACAAGGGGCATAATCACAAACAAGCAGAACCACCTACCTCTTTCCATTTTGCCTCTGCACACAAAAAAAAAAAAAAAACATTTCCTTCTTTATTTTATATTCTTCTTTTATCTAATAGATTGAATTTCACCACTGTCACTGGGTAAGTCCTAAACCTAAAATAATACAACTAAATTTGCGCATAATAGCTCGACGAAATGATATTATCACTAGTTTTGAATATGAAATTTTAGATTCAAATCCTTTAAATAAATAAATAACAAAATCTATATCATCTTATATATATAGAAAAAGAATACAACTAAATTATCCTTTACGATTTTCTACATTAAACTAATAGCCAAAGGTTGATAAACACATGGAAGAGTCAAACAACCCAAAGACTGTCCTTGCTTAACCCAGTTGTCCCTAGCTTAGCTGTTATTAAACCATGGCTGGCTGCCTGGATTATTAATATTATCATTAAAACTAATTAACAACAACAATTAAGACCATAATCAACCTCAATGGCCTGCTTAGAAATTTGCTGGCACAGGCAGGCAAGGAAAGGAAAGGACACCACCCAAAATGTGCCTTCCTGACCAGCAGTATGATACTATGATAGGGTAATGGTCAGCACAAAGCAGGCCTTCACTTTGACTTGAATTGGTATAGGTCTACATATGCATGCAAATTTTGCAGATTTCATTCTTTTTGCCTTTTCTTTTCAGAAGTGAAGGCCAATTGGCCAAACCTGGAAGAAGGAAGAAGTAGAAGTAGGGGATGCGATATGGTTAACCCTATAATATATATTCTTCCATCCATCTTGTCTCCCCATCCCTTTTTCCAGAAAATGACATTACAAAAACCTCCCTGCTATTCTCTTTATCACACAGTCGGCAATTATACCTTACACCTTAAAATTCAACCTTCAAAGCTCCCACCCTGGCCCTGCACACAGTCAGTTCCTTCCTTCTTCCTTTCTCTCTGCCTATATAAACAATCCCTTTACCACCCACAAGTCTCACCTGAATCACCTTTCATCAAACTGTTCAGCTAAAGAAGAAGAAGAAAACCCTAAAGGCCAGTCAAAACCTTTCTCGAACCCTCCCTCCTGCCATATATATGGCCAATCAGCAACAGCTAGTTCTTGTTCTTCTTGCTTCTGTTGAAGCACTTAGCTCAGGTGCGAAAGCAGATAGTTTACGTGATGATGATGATCATTGCGGCCGTGGAAGTAGCTGGGATGGCGGCGGGTTAGGCCATGGAAGTAGGACGACGGTTTAGATGGTGCGACGATATCTCTCCTGAGCTTATTCTCCTTGTAAACTTTTTTTTCTCTTTTTTTTATTTCGAAAAGCCGGCTCGATTTTTCTTGACCTTGCAAGTCTGAGAATCGAAGAATTTGCGCTTTTTCATTTTAATTTCTTTTCTTTTTTTTTCCAATTCGTGCTAAGCCATGAAAATTGCTTATATAAGTTTTTTGCGGTTTGTATCCCTCATGAGCTTGACTACTACTAACCTTTAGAGATGTGGTGAGTCGCATTATGTAAAATGAAATTATTCTTTCATATTATTTAATTTCTCGATGAATACATTAATAAAAAAAATCTTGGTGAATACAAGTTTGTTGTACTAAATTTTCTCGTTAAATTAAGTGTATATAAAAATGTGTTGCATTGATCATAATCTATAATACGACATCCATTTTTATATATTTCAGAGTTTAAAGGTTGATTTTACAATGACATGAGCGTGAATAAATAACAATATGAGTGAATCAAAACCAGGTTGAATAAACAGTATTGGTTGCACGAATAATCAATAGTCTTACATAAATAATGCCAATATAGCCTGAATAATTGAAAATTGCGTGAATTAGTTGTTTTGTCACTAGAGGTGGTGCCAAATGACAGGACTCATATAGATCATCTGAATTCACAGGGCTGAAAATAAGTAGTTTCCCACGTCTAATTAAGCCTCTATATATATTATTATTAATTAAAATTATTAAAATTCAAGTTCCAAAAAACTCAGTTTACAGTTCATCACAAAATTTCGAGGCTACTGTTCATTATGAGCCATCGATAAACTGTGGTCGTTTCTATTTAATCTCATATAGAGCCACTTTGAATTGGCCAAGCGATAGCCATTGGATCTTAATTTCCCAGCCATTGGATCACTATCGCTAAAACTCCTCTGACCTCTCCCTTGCGGTTTCTTTTTCCTTATGTATTTTCTCATTCCATTCCCCCAAATTGTTTTCCACCCCAGAATCAAAAGACCTAAAATAAGGACTCGGTAGCGGCGATTCAATCCCTCTCCCTGGCCCTCGTTGTCGGCTCCTCAATATATCTCATTCCTCCCTTCCTTGATTCAGTTGAAGCAGGCATGAAGGAGCAGCTCAAGCCCCCGCCTACGTCGGCGCCTCCTCAACCTATCTCCTTCTAGCCAAGCCTCTTGCTCTAGTGAGTACACAACTTGGATTTATACGTTTAGAAATTTTAATTACCTTTTGCTCATGGATTGACTCCCCTAATTTTTTTACTATTCAATATCTTCTCCAGAGATTTACCGCAAATAGCTAAGCTCAAAACCAATTTGATTCCTTTCTTTTCTAATAGATTTCTAAATAAATTGATAATGCTTTTGACAATCCTCTTTCATTTCACCCTTTTGCTGGAAGAACTCAAGGATAACAGAACCACGGTTTATAGACATCAAGGGTGTGGATTTTGATTTGAGATTCATCGTGGAGGGTGGTGTTAGAGCTCAGTGCTTTGCTCCTATAAAAAATCATTTGTTTGCTCTTAAAAGATTCCTAGACATTGAGTTACGTCTTAGACGTATAAGCAAACCTAGTTGTGCAAGTTCTCATTCAAATATACTCTTTAGGTCAAATTATGGAATAACTTCTTATGGCTATAGTTCTAGGGAAATGGTAACAGCCAACCTTTTGAGTTTGATAATGATGTGTGCCGGTGAGATTAGGACATCTGCATAATTATACAGGAGGCATTATTTTCTTTGTTCCTGTATGTGTGATTAGCTTGGTATTCTTACCCCTATCATTTGTTCCTCTTCAACATAGGTAGTTGTTAGTGTCGGAATGCAAAGGTGGATATTGCAATAGGTTTCCTACAAGTGATCATACAATATTACAACAGAGAGGAGGTTGATAGAGCAAGGGAAGTTGTCAATCTCATGGGATCAACAATGTCAATTGCTTTTGACGAGGTTGACAAAGTTCTGCGAGGAGAAGAATAGAGGAATCGCCATCACTACTGTGATTTTTCATAAACACTTCTGAGGTTCTAAGGTTTGTTATTGGTTAGTTAGAGCATAACTGTTTTGTAGATCTCCCGAGGAGTGGCCTCCTATTGTTGTTTCTTCTTTATCTACTTGTCAGTTTGATGCTTTTCCCCTACACGCCCTCGATTTCACTTGATTTTGGAAGACCTATGAGGTCTTGGGAGTATGATGGAATGTAATCATAGTGAGTTTCAAGTTAGCTTGGGTTTTGATTTCATGTGTTGATACTAATCTTGATATGTATGGGTCCCTTTGTTTTTACGGTTTCATGCTTTTAAACAACATTGCCTTCTGCACTGAACATGAAAAGTATGGTGGAGGTTTATATCCTCTGAGTGTTATTTGTTGCTTAATCGGCTTACATCTTATGTTTCATTGCTCTATGAGGCCAAGTCTAATTCAAATTGGTAACTCAAAATGGTTTGTGGTTGGTTCCTTCTAAATGGCCATTATCTTCATAGTGTCAAGGTCGAAGTGAGATAAATTGACTCCACCTTTGTAAATGATCCCCCTATGCCAAAGAACATCAGCTTAGTGATTTCCAAAACGAACATCAGCTTAGTGATTTCCCATGTTACTGTCTTTTTCAGCTTGGCACACAACTGATATGTACTTCTGTGTAGTTTTGCAG